GAGCCCCGCGCCCGGCCGCCCGGCCCTGCGGCTGCTGCTGTCGCCTCTGCTGCTGCTCGCGGCGGCGACGTCCGGCCGCGCAGGTACGTGGGTGGCGCAGTGAGTTGAGCCGGTGGGTTTCGCTTTCCGGTCCCGGGCCACCCGGGTGCTCACCTGTCCGGGCCAGCACTGGGGCTGGGATGGAGGACTTTGGTGGCGATCACTCTGATCGGTGCCCGCGGCTCGCAACCTGAGACGGTGGCCGCCACCGCTCGGGGCGCCCTCGCCTGCGCGTCCGCCCGGGCTCCCGCCTCCACCGCGGGCCGGTGCGGGCTCAGACTCCCAGTCCCGCAGCAGCAGCGCGAAAACCGAATCCGAAAAGAGTCTGCTCCCAGGGCACAGGCTCTAGAGGAGGCTGCGCTTCTAAAGTAACATTTCCGCCACCCTTTCCTGGGTACGTCTCTCCCTTGGCAGTTGTGCCCGTGCACAGAGCAGAGCTTTCTGATTTTTCAGAAATAATAAAACCGTTAACTGATTTATGACATCAGGTAACAGAAGGGTTTTTACCTTTCGTTAAAATTTAAGCTATTTGCCAATTGGAATCCAATAAATCAGAATAACTCATTAGCCATTTTTCTCCGTATTTGTGGTAGAGTAAAAACAAACAAACAAATTTTTAAGGAAAGATATCTGGGATTTATTATTATTATTATTATTATTATTATTATTGAAAGCAACCACAAAACTTTCCAGCAGACAGAACAGGACAAGAGTGCAGGACAAAAGTCGCCCAGGAAACTTGGCAGGGTCCTTAGTAGTCAAGGAAAAAAATTGCTTCCGTTCAGTATAGGTACAAAGGTCAGAAAAATGTCCCCACAGGTCTGGGAGTTTTGAACAATAGAAGTTATACACAAAAAAGTTTCTCTTCTCACCCTTAAATTTTCAAAAAGTTTAGTTGTTTTTTAATTTCAGGCAAAATGAACGGAAAGGGACTGCTTCTGATTTAATACTGAACCTTGAACTAATAGGAATTCCTTTGTTTTTCTTTTTGATCAGAGTGATTTTAAGCCTGCTCAGCAGTTAAGTCAGAGGACTGACATTTTAAAGTGGTCATATTCTTGACTTCAAAGGAAAATTTGCAACTGGGCTGGTGGCGCATGCCTGCAGTCCCAGCACTCTGGGAGCCTGAGGTAGGCGGATGGAAAGTTTGAGCACTGCCTGCGAGACTTGGTGACTTAGTGAGACCTTGTCTCAAAATAAAAATAAAAAGGGCTAGCGATATAGCTCAGTGTGATGGTCCCAGGTTCAATCCCCAAAGAGCAGAATTTACAAAAAGAGACAAAAGAAACTCTTTTCTGATCCACAAGACCCAGGTGGGTTTTTAGCTCTTAGCCAGTTCTAGTCCTCTCTGGGGACTGCAGGGACTGCTGGGAAAACCGGGTTAGAAGCTGGGTGCAGTTGCCTGGACACCAGCCTGCTTCTGATTGACAAGTCATCTGCATTGCCTGCTGAATCATGTGCTTTCTGAGAGTTGTATGACATTGCTACTCTCAGGTAGATGAATATTTTAACTGACTTTTTGAACTCTGTACAGAAATTCAGAGTCACACAAGCCACCATTGGATCAGGTTGTATAATGCTAAAAATCCTCCTGGTGGTTGCAAATGCTCAACATGGCATCAGCCTTTTAGGAAAGTCTCGATATTTTATTTCAGGTAAACTTTTGTCTCTGCTGCTCCCTCAAGGTAGGTGGGACAAAGACTCTGCCATCTCTAAGGTCTCAGGGGACAGAAGTTTTACCAGGAAATACATTCTTCTGGCTTACCAAATGTGTTCCATGGGCCATTTCTATATCTCATTTCTCATAGAACATAAAGAACTGTGGTCAGCGTTATATAAACGATGTAGTAAGAGTCTGATTTTCCAGCTCCTGTGTCTCTGCTTAAAATTCTTCAAAGGTTTCCACTGCTCTCAGAATCATTCTCAGTTCTCCTGCACGGTCCGGTGTGGCCCTCACCAACCTAAACTTAATTCTTTAATTCCTTAGTTCCTGCTGTTCTTACTGTTTTCCAGTTCCTAAAGTGAGGCAAACTGTTTCCTATCTCAGGGATTCACACTTGTGGTTCTCTCTGATAGAACAGTCCTTCCACTCTGTCCTGGTTAACTCTGCTCAGATTTGGTATCTCATCCTGTAAATCCCTAGAGGGAAATTGCAATTCATTATGTCTGTGAACAAATGAACTTAACTTTAGTTTTGAGTCTTTCAAATACAATCTGAATATTACTTTTAAAAAACAATGCTTGTTCAAGCTGATGTTCTGTAATGAACACAATGAGGGTAGTAGTTAAAATGTCTCCTCTTTAATATAAACGCAGCTACACTGTATTGAATTTCTCAGAGACTCCACACAAACACACAAGTGATTCCACTGAACTAATTAAACTTTCATAATTTTAAAAACTTTTTATTTTGAACTTGAGACTTACAGAAATAGCAGAGCATTCCCACATGCCCTTCAGTCAGTATTCCCCAGTTTTAGCATCTGTGTAACTGTTATACAATAGTCACAACCAGGAAACTAATATTAGTATAACTCCACTCACTAAACTGGAGACTTTGCTTGAATTTTACCCATTTCCCACTTTCTCTATCCCAGAATCCTGCATCTCACCTTACACTGAGTCGTTGTGCAGCCTCCCTCTCCTCGAATTGGTGGCAGTTCAAAGCCTTTCTTGGCTTTCATGACCTTCCCCCTTTTGAAAGTGCTGGTCACCCCCTCCCCTTCATCTGCTGCTTCCTCACAATCATATGAGCTGTTTCCTTTGGGCAACGATACCACAGAAATTAAGTTATCTTTCTTGGGGAATTTCAAAGGACTTAGGATACCCATGGGCCTGCTTACTGGTGATGCTCACCTTGATCTCTCTGTAATGTCAAGTGGTATCATTGGGGTTTCCGATTATAAAGTCATGGTTTTTCACTTTGTGATTGATAAGTATCTTGTGGGAGGTCATTTAGGATTATGCAAGTACTCTGCCCTAACTTACACCCACTAATGTTAGTGTGCATAAGTAGATTTTGATGGCAGCAACCAATATGCCACATAATGATTTCTCTATTGCAGTCTTTCCTTCGTGTATTAATTGAAATTCTATTGCAAAGAGGAGCTGTTCCTTTTACCTTGTTTATTTATTTATGTATATCAACATGCACTCATTTATTTTGTTCGAGTTATAATTGAATATTTTTGTTATTCGTTTTGCTGCTGCAGTTGTTATAGCTCTGGCCGGCTGGCTCCTTCAGTGTGGCTCCAGCGTTCTTTTAAGAACCCCCATCCTTTCTCAACATTTCGTTACTTTCTAGCACCACAAATGGTCCAGACTCATCTTGTGTTTTCTCCGCCCCAACCCTGGATTTAACCCTTTCCTCCCAAAGCTCTGGTTCCTTCTCTTGGACAGTGGTGTTGAGAAACCAAGATCGGAGTGCTCGGCATGCTCGTCACTACCAGGGCGTCATTTCTAGGCTGTCTGTGTGGACAGAGCCTGGACTTATGTATATGGATTCTAATCCAGTCACACATCACCATGTGTATGTGTGTTAAAGACCATGAATTCATACTGACCCTTCAGACTTTGATACAAAAGCTCGAGGCTCATTATTCTTTCTTTACTTGAACTTTCTTTCTCCAACAGTGAGAAATCCAGATACTGTTATCTACATGAGATTTACTTATTTGTTCACTTGTAGGACAAAGTAGTTTCAGAATTGGTAATCTATGCTCCTGTGAGAAACATATTTACCAGCTACATTACAGTATATGAGTACAGTTCTTTAGTCTTTCGATTTATATAATCTAGTCAAAATACTGTTGACCAGAGTTACCTAAGTTTGTCTTTTTTGTACAACTTTCATGTGGTTCTAGTATCCATTTGTAACAATTTAGATTTATTTCTTACTGCTTGGGTTTCATTTTGGGTTCCCCCACATGCGAGTTGATTTTAATTATTTGTGGAGTTTGAGGTATTTGGAGAGAACCTAAGCATGGTTAGCAGAGTCAGCATGTGCGCTATAGTATACTCAGAAAAGTGTTGCTCTGGCCTCAATCCTATTCCACACAACTTCCCAAAGGGAACCAATAACCTTCATTTCTCACTTACTGTTCCTATGTTTCTTCTGCACTGATGAGAAGATATGTGTGTGTTTTTAATAGCCCCTTATTTTATCTGAAACATAGCATACTCATGATACTGTTTTGCAGCTTGCTTTTTAAAAAACTTAACAGTATTTTAATTATTTTGAAGGTAATACTTTTCTGCTTCATAAATCACCATTCCTAAAAGAGAGGTTCTGACTATACCTGCTTAATTAATGTCAAAGCTAAACTATTTCCACATTTTATCTCAATTTAGTGTGAAAACACCTTGTCTTAAACATACTGGATGCTAACAGTGAAAAACCAGGTCTAACTCCGAGTTCCATTTTATATATATATTTTTTCTTATAAAACTAATAATGAACAAACAACTAGCAACAGCAAAAAATCCCATGAAAAGGACCCTTCTTCTCAAAGGGCTGGTTATCCAATGAGGAGGAGTTAGGAGTTCCATGGCTGCAGAGTGACCTCAAAGACGTTGGCAGCCTCAGCAAGCCACTGTGGTTTGTGGCTCTTTGCACTACTAAATCAAACCACAAACAATTATGAAAAGTCACACGTGTTATTTGTGGTTTCTGGTATAGATAATATTTCCCACTTCCTGGGTCAACCAAGTTCTTTGAAGGCCCTGTTAACCTTAACGAACAATAACAAAGCAAATGACTTGATTGATCCAATTTTTATGTTACTTCTGGAGAAATTCCAGTGTTGTCAGTGCAACAGTGGATTGCACAGTGTCTCCAAAAAAGTCATGTCTACCTGCAACCTCAAAACGTGAACTTACTTGGAAGTAGGGACTTTGCAGATGTAATTAATTAAAGATGTCCTGATGAAACCATCCTAGAATTAGGTTGGTGCTATGGTTTGTGTCTGGGTGTCCCCCCAAAGTCACATGCAGTCATGGGGAGGGCCTTTAGAGTTTATGATTGATCCATGATCCAATGATGCTG